TGAGGCTTTGAGCAACCTGGTCTAGTGGAAGGTGTCCCTGCTGCTGTCAGGGGGGTTGGGACTGGATGAACTTTAAGGTCCCTTCCAACCCAAACCATTCTATGATTTTCATTGTCCTTCTCTGAACCTTCACCAGTGCTTCTGTTTTGAGAAGCGAGGGACAAACCCTGTGTGGAGTGTGGAAGGTCTGTTCCACCCATTTATGCAGCGACACAAAGGAACGGTGTCTCCTCAGCACTCTGGCTTTAGGGGTCTACGTAGGTCGTATGTCACTGCAGATCTAAGATCTCGCTTGTACCAACTCTTCTCCTGGACCTTCCCTCTCCTGTGCTCACCATTTGTGAGTCCTTGCTGTGAATTTGAAATCTTTGTCTCCGTGTTTTTCTTGGAGTAGGTAGATCCTGGTGGCTTTCAGCATTTCAAGTGTGTGACGTGGGGGGAGAGCCCCAGTTCAGGTTACAAATATGAAAATAAAGCTAGAACTGGATTGGAAATCTTTGAAGGAAAAAAAAAAAACCCTTTCACCTTGATTTTTTATTTTTAAACTGAAAGTTATTTTTTAGATGCATATTAAGTGAAAGCACCAAAGAACTGTGTTAGGTTGGATGTTCAGTGACGGGCTCAATGTGTAGCTGATTCCACTTCTGTTCTAAAAAGTACTTTTAAGTAAAAGAAGCTTAAAATTGAGGTACTGAAAAATTATTTGATTTTATAGCTGTTAACTGACTTTTGTTAATTTACTCTTTGTCTTTTGCTAGGCAAGTCCATGAGGTCCAATCTTACATGGGACGCCTGGAGACTTCAGACAAAGAGTCAGTACACTGTAAGTAATTAGTGAGAAAAGTCCCACTCCAGCACTGATTTAATTTAACTTGCACCTTTAACCTTGTGTGCTTTATCATTGTATTTCCAATCATTATTGGAAGAAATTTGGCTCTTCAGTCATTGTGACCAGCTGGGGAGACACATCACCAGTTTGGAATGCATTAAAATTTTTTTACTATTTGACTTCAATAAGGTGATGTTTTATGTGAAGGACAGAGCGGAAAAGACACAGTAAGAATTTACTTCAAATCATCTTCCTATTCTAGTTCTTTAATTGACAAATGGTGTTTACTGTGGAGGTTTCTACAGTGTCTTGACATGGGAATGCAAGACGTTTTTTGGAACTCACTGCTGGGGTATCCTGTGGAAGCCTTTAACATGAACAGGTCAAAAAACCCCACGCTGATGCACTCGTGGAGGTACAGTGAACACATTGATGTGGAAAGAACTGCAAATTCCTGGGCTGGTTTGTTAGGAGCTCAAAAGCCGAGAGAGATCATTGTGTGTGTGGTGGTGTCACTGGGCCAGCACTGGGCTAGGAGCCAACACAGCCGTTCACTCACTGCCCCCCACCCCAGGGGACAGGGGAGAGGTTTGGGGGAAGGATAAGGAGGCTTGTAGGGTGAGATAAGAACAGTTTAATAATAGAAATAAAAGAAAACTTAAAATAATACTAATATTGAAATAGTAATGATAATAATAACAGTGATAAAATACACAACTGAGTGACACCCAGTGCCATTGCTCACCACCCGCCGACCCAGCCCGACCCGTTCCCAGATCACGATCCCGGAGGAGCCACAATCCCGACCCGAAACCGCAATCCCGGGAGAGACAGAGCCCGAGCCAAAGCCAGAGAGAGCAAGAGAGGAAGAGCCCCTCATGGATCTCCTGCCCATGGGGGACAGGAGATGGAACAGCCCCTTGGCAGAGCCCAATGCCCATGGAGCTGATCCATTGCAATATTCCTCACCCCTGAGATCTTGCGCTTGCAGACGGACAAACACAAAGTCCTTCAGTGCCAGGGACACAAATGCAACATGGGGATGTTCTCAGCGTTTCTCTCCTAACAAATCCCAGCTGAACCCAAACCTCAGCGCTGTTCCAGCTGCTGGAAAGAAACCAGTTCTGATCCAGCTAAAAGCCAGGACAGTTTGCCTGCCTGTTATTTTGCTGTTCCTTCAGCATCCACTGCTTGGCAGTATTCTCCAAAAGATGCTCAGTCCAGTTTCTGGGGAAAATCCCGTGATTTGGTGTGCAGGAATGTGAGCAGGATGATTCTGATGGTTCTTGCTTGTGTCAGAGTCAGAACCTGTAATTCCATCTGCTTATGAAAAATATGTCGAACAAGTAGGTCTGAAATTGCTTCAGTAAATTCGGACTATAACCCTGTGCTAATAAAATTACTGTAATAAAACACTGTGACATACTGCGGCAGGACTTCTGACCTCGGTGCAGAATTGGCAGATGGCTTTTGGACTTGTGTTTGAAGTCTTAATTGGTGTATGAGTAATTGCTAATGAGCCTCATCAGGAACTCGTGCAGTGAAAGCACGCTGCCTTGAGTGGGTGCACCTCTGCACGGTTTGACTGAATTCTCTTCAAATAAATGTATTTGTGAAGTGTAACTTTGCTGTGGAAAGGACTGTGATAACTTTTCCTATCAAAAAATAACCATTTGTTTATTGGTTCTGTTTTTTTGTGATTGTTGTACTACTCGTAGTACAGATTTCCAGGCCTGCTGTTCAGTGGATGTGATTTTGAAGCCCCTTGATAATTAGCCTAATTTGTCACCTTGCCTCTGGTACTTGAGACCATTTCAAGAGACAAGATTATGCACCATCTTACATGGTCAATAAATGAACAATATTTATAGATATATATAAAAATACAGATGTGTGCTCTAGATATTAGTGCCTATTTCAGACTTTATGGGGAAAAGGTTTATCTTTTGGCTGAAGAGCAGGAATAAAAGTCAGGAAATCAAACTTTCTGGTGCAGCTTTCCTCTCCTTTTTTGGCCAAATAATCCCTCCTTCTTCAGAAAAGCATAAGATGACCAAGATAGTAACAATATTATTTGGACTCGCAAAAGCTGATGTAATTATTTGTCTGCTCTCCTGGTTGCTTTTCTGCTAAGTTTAGTTGCACTAAATGATGGAGAGATGAATTAGGACAATTTGATTGATTTGTGCCTATGTATGTGAGTGAGTTTCTGTTTGATTGTGTGAGATCAAAGGGCAAAGAAAAGGGGTTGAATGTGCTCTTTGCTTTTCCGGATTCTGCTGAATGTGATTTCCTGGAAAGTCACAGAATCACAGACTGGTGGGGTTGGAAGGGACCTCAGGAGATCATCCAGTCCAACCCCCCT